TTCTTGAACCACACCTGCGGGGGGAGGAAAGGCTGTCGGACCGGGCGCCGCGGCTGGGGGTGGGTCCCCCGGATGGGGGTTCAAGCCGGGCCGGAGCCCAGAGGATTAATAAGCCGAGATGGCTGGAGACGGGAATGGGGTCGCGGAGGAGCGCGTGGAGTCAGGGAGCTGAGGACAGAAGCAGTGGGCGGCAGAACTAAGTCAATGGCGCGGGGAGTAGTCGGTCAAGGAGGGGTGGCGAGGAGGACGAGCGACCGTCCCAGGGGAGAGGAAGCGTGGGTCGGGAGTGACAGGGTGGAGATGGGTGGAAAGCAGTGGGTAGCGGGCCGGGGCTTTGGGACTTCGGGTGTCGGGTCCGAGGTGGGGCAGGCAGGGCAGAGCCACGGGTTGCAGGTGTCTAAGCTACTCGCTAAGCGGCCCGAGAGGAAGAGCTGGGTGGGTGGCGGATCTGGGCGCGCCGTACCCGCACGCGGGCCTCGGTGAGGTTGGTCCACACGGCGATCTCCTCGCGCGTGCTCATGTCGGGGTAGCGGTTCCTCTGGAAGGTGGCCTCCAGCTCCTGCAGCTGCTGGCTGGTGAAGTGCGTGCGCTGCCGCCGCTGCTTCTTCTTCAGCGAGCCGTCTTCGGGGGAGCCGCCGGGCAGCGAAGCCGAGGCCTTCTCCGAGTCTGGGACCGGGTTGGGGCAGGTCACAGGGATTCCCGGGCTGGGGGTACCTCCTCCACCCGCCACTCACTCCCACCCGGGCCCCACCCCCATTAGGGATGGAGCTGTTATCTCCCCTACGCCCAGAAGGGGGCGCGCTCACCGCTGTGTTCTTGGCCCTTGCAGCCGTGTTCTGGGAGTGGGGGGTGGGGAGTGCCCGCGTCTGACAGTGATAGGGCCGGGCTCCGGGCCTCCGCCTCGCTGAGCAGGCCGAACTCCATGGAGAGGAGACTCTGGAGGGAAGAGAAGACACAGACCAGGCCAATGGGGCTAAAATCTCCGGGTTATCCGGTCCCCAAAAGTGTTTCGCCACAGGTTCGCTGTCCCCTTTCACAGCCCCCAACATAAAGCTACTCCTGTGTGGGGTGCCCTAGGATAGAATAGGGAGACAGCAGCCTAAGGGGAAAAAAGTGTATACTCAAAAACTTCATGCACAGATATACACACTAGACTTTGTTTTGTTCACGGCCAGGCACCTAGAACTGTGCCTGGTGCACAGTTGGTGTTCAATAGATATTTATTGAATTAATGAAAACCACAACGATTGCACACCACATGCCATATACCATCCCTCTCACACGAATGCCCAATATTCCCATAAACTTATACATGCCCCTCAGTCAATCACACCTAACACATAGCCGGAACCTCTGTTGCTCATTGAACCAGACCTGATACTTCTCCCATAAAGATAATCACTGCTGTCAATTATGAGTACGTACTGTGTGCCTTTATCTCATTATCTCTCCCCTCACAAGAATGCATCAATATTAAGTATGGTCACCTTTTTCAGATGGTGAAATTGAGACTTGAAGTAACAATTAAGGGTCACAGGGGAAAAAAAGGGTCACAGAGCTTGTAAGCAGTGGAACTGGGATCTGAATCTGCTCTGGGAGACTCCTAAGCTAATGTTTTTTCTCCATTTGTTTTTTTCTTTCTTCTTTATTTAAAAATACATTTTTATTGATTTTAGAGAGGAAGGGAGAGGGAAAGGTAGAAACATCAATGATGAGAGAAAATCATTGATTGTCTGCTTCCTGTACAACCCCTACTGGGGATTGAGCCTGCAACCCGGGCATGTGCCCTGACTGGGAATGGAACCATGACCTCCTGGTTCATAGGTTCAACCACTGAGCCACACGGGCCGAGCTCTGTTTGCTTTTTCAAATTGTGTTCTTTAGGGCCCCTACCCAGAAACCCCCTCAGGGACTGGAACTCAGGGCTAGTCTCAAGGATGGAACCCTAGCTTGGTCTTGATTTGATCTGCTACATCTAGGGTAGCTCTGCTTTTGACTGTTTTGTTCATGCTTCCTGGAGAGACTTCATTTGAAAAAAGGGTTCCAGAATAAAACCCTCGTTTGAAAACCACTAGGCATTCGGCTCTCTCTGATTCTGATCCAGGCACACTTCACATCCTACCAGTCATTGTTCTACTCACATGCACAGCCTCTAGCAGGCCCACCCCAGGCAGGCCGCAGATATGAGCTTCTGAAAACCCCCTTGCTGCCCTTACTTCCTATCCCAAACCTTGCCTGACATTACCCAGGAGCCTGCTTGGGTCCCTCTTCAAGTCTCCCCTGCAGGTGTCTCTTTTCTGCTGGCTCTCCCAGGCCCTCTCTGGTAGGAGGAAGGGAAAGGGACACTGGTGGGGCTCAAGAACTCTGTATGCCTCTAAGTCAGAGGAGAACCAAAGGAGGGCAGGGACAGAGGAACAGGGTGAGGAGCTGGGCGGGAGGGGTCCATCTACCTTCCGGTTAACAGGGATTTAATACAGGCTGTGCAAGGTGGCATTAATGTGGTGGATTAGCCTAAGTTGAGATGTTTGTCACTTGGCTGCTCTGAATTTATTAGGAGCCTTTCTCGGGGAGGCACAGATGGGCAGTGGCCTGTATTTGCACATGGTAATGCCCCCTTCAACCAGCTCAGAGGGGACAGCTGTCCCCTGCCCCCACCTCTCAAGTAAGATTGGGGTGGGAGGGACAGAGGTCAAGGCAGGAGTGGAGGAGCAACCCTTGTTCTTTCCACCGGCACAGGAGACTAGACCTTGGACCTTTTCCTAGGATTAAAGAGGCAGGCCTGAAGGGGATCTGGGAAGGAAGGAGGGAAGTCAGCCCAGGGTGGAGGTGCTCAGCTTACCTCTCTCAGGTCTGAGGTCAGGCGTCAGAGGCTTGGGGCCAGCTCAACAATGCTCTGGTGGAAGGGAGATGCCCTTGGGAGGGACCTACAGCAGTCTTGACTAGAAGCTCTTCCCACATAGCTGGGAAGGCACAGAGCTGAGAGCCGGACAAAGGGGTGCTCTGAAGTCTCCTTTTACTTTATACCCAAGAGGACAAAGACGGTAAAGGGGGTCCAATACATGATGCAGAGGAGACTAGACTTTGGGTGGTGAGCCCACAATAGAGTATACAGATGTCTTATTATAAAGTCGCACACCTGAAATTTATATGTTATTAACCAATGTTACCCCAATAGATTTAATAAAAAATAAAATAAATATATTTTTTAAAAGATGCCCTCAAAATATAAACCATGCCTCTGATTTCTTCAGAGGTCACAGGAGCAACAAAGAATTGGGAAAAGAGACATTTGGGTTTGCCTGCAGGGAAAGCTAAATCCCACCATTGCCCTTTATCCTCCCAGTCTGCTTTGGCTCCAGACTTCTAATTTTCCAAACTCCCCTTCCCCCAGCATTCCATACCTGTGTCTTGGTTTCACCCTTTATTTCAGCAAAGGGAGGCAGGGTGAGGAGAGATAAGGGCCAGAGTAAAAGATGAAGCTGAGAAAGCAGAGTTCAGGCTGTGTGTTCCTAGAGACAGACAGACACACATGCAGACACACAGAGGCCCCCACTCAGACAAAATAAGCACTTGGACTTGGAACTAGAGGCATACAAACACACACTCTCCCACACATGTGCTCCCACATTCAAGCAGACAGACACACACTGTCACACAGTCTCCTCTCTCTGTGACAGGGACAGCTGCCTTGGCTGTTTTGGAACTAGCCATTACCCTCCCCCCTCCCTTTCCTGGCCCCTCTGAACCTCAGCTTTCAGTCCCAGGAACTAAGGACTCTGTGGGGGAGGAGGAGGCCAAAGGGGCCAGGGGAGTGGTCTGCACCCAGTGGCTGCTGGGGAAAGCCTGTTTGGCTGAATGGGGAGATGGCAAGAAAATGCTGGAGGAAGAGGGTGAGGCGGGGGTGGGGCCAGAAACTGCCCAGGCCTCTTTTAGGAAAGTAATCTGGTATAGCCCAAAGAAAGTAGGTTTGGAGTCAAAAGATCTTGGTCCATGTCCTGGCTCTCCAACTTACTAGCTATGCGATCTTGGCAAATTACCTCTCTGAGCATATTTTTTCATCTCTAAAAGGGAGATCATAATCCCTCTACCTTCAGTATTGTTATAAGGTTAAAATAAAATATAACATGTAAAAATGGGTACAACTCTATCCAAGTATGTTTTTTTCTTATTCATAGAAGAGATGCCTATTTGGCACCTTCTGTGAGCTGGGCATTGAGTAAGGCACCAAGGATAGAGTGGCAAATAAGAGCTCATCCTCATCTCTGCTCTTGCTTGAGTGGTTCACCTCCCTAGACTCTGTATCTCCCAGTGAAGAATTTCTCTGGTGAATAAAGAGGTGAGTATACTGCATTTTAGAGAGGGATACAAAGGTGTGTTGTGAGCACTCTGTCCTGAACATAAAGGTGAGCCCAGTCAATAAGGTAACAGCACAATGGGTAGAGTAACCCAAGTTGGGAGTCACTTTGGGGACCAGGGACTGGTAAAGGAAAGGATGGAGCCTCAGGCTCCTGACTGGGTTACTAATAGAAGATAGAGGGGATGAGAAGGGCCCTGACTGTGAAACGGAAAACAACACTAAAGCCTGTCAAGTAATAGGAAAATGAAGGGTGGGGCATAGGTATCTAGGTGGGCTGGTGAGGCAGAGGCTGCGGGCGCCCAGTGGTTGTCTGAGCTGGAGACAGGTTGGCTGAGGATTAAGCTCCCTAAACTGCAAAATTGAGACTGAGGCCAAGGACTTCACCTCACTCAGTGGACAGGGACAAGCAGTAGGTCTTGTAGCCACAGGTTTGGTTGATGCTGATAGGAAATGCCAGGCAGGACCAAAGAGAGCCAAGAGGTAACAGTGGTGCTGGGTCCAGCTTTGGGAGGGGCTGCCTGTCCCACCACCAGTCTTCCTGACACCCCCTGCAGAGGATGCATGGCTCAGGCCCCACTGGTGTCAGAGGGCAATCCTAGCCCTAAGGAGAAGGGAGGGCCTACAGAGGTGCTCTGATTGTGAAGTACAGGCTGGAATTACAGGACGATGTCATAAACTGCAGCAAGAACAAAATACCCAACTTATATTAAGGTGGAGAGCAGAGAATATCATAGGTCAGAGAAGCCATAGTGGGGAGGCCATGGTTGATCCAAGGGGTTCATGGCAAGAGGTCAACTGCCATGTGTACCCACTTTTGTCCTGAAGCCAAAGGGGTAAACCAGGGCCACGGCCAGAAAGCCCCCAAGAAGTTACAACAATTAATGCCTAAGACAGGAAACACACCCTGGAACTTAAATAGGAGAACTTTCCCCTGCAGGGACAGAATAAGGAGGAAGATAAGAGGGGATGGCGCTGTGATGCTGTGGCTCAGCCAGCAGCAAGTTGGTGGACAGGTGTAAATCAGGTCCCCACACCATCCCGTAAACCTGAAACTGAAGCGAGGCCCTTAAGTGCACACAGCCTCACATTCACTAGCGATGCTGAGCACCCAAACGGTCTGGTCTGCTGAACTGCAGTGACAAATGGGAACGAATAAAGACAGCTGGAGACAAGCTCACAGCCCCAAGGGGAAACCCTGAGATTCAGGTGGAGGCAGCAATAATTTGATACACTTAATTTATTAAGGGGTGAGTCAGGGATCAGAGGAATGAACCTCCACACTCTTTCTTCCCTTCCTTCCTTCCTTCTTTCCTTCAGCAAGTGTTAGGTGCTAAGACAGATCCCCAAGACTGGTAAGGCAAAGACCCTAACTTCTAGGAGCCTCTAGGGAGGCAAACAGCACAGAATGAAATGATGGGCTGCTTGAGTCTGTTTCTCAGACTTTGATAGATAGACAAATGGAAGCCCATGTAAGGTGTATGTTTTGGGGCTAAGAGATTGTAGCAGGTTCGGAGGGCAACAGGGACAACGAGAGATCATCGGAGAAAAATGGGTCAGGCTGGGGAGGTGTCTCCAATGAGGGGTGGTGGTTCAGGTTTGATACGATCTAGGCTAGAGCATCTCTAGATTTTCCATTAAAAACCCCACCAAGACGAGTAAGAGGGAATATCACCCTGGAACACTAGGGGCGCAACCTAAAACAGATGCCACCGGTATGAAATGTCTTTGAGCTCTCCAGCCGTATGTTAAAACTGAAAGTAAATTTTGCATTCTATTCCATAAAGTTGTTATGTTTGTTTTAATATAAAAATAAAGTGTTCTCTCCAAATCTCCAAGTGACATCATCACACCAGGAAGATAGATGGGCCTGTTTAGCCTGCAGTGTCATGCTCCTCTCACTCCTATACTGCCCTCTTCCACTTCAGCCCCCTACAGAGAAGCATTGCTCCAAGCAGTGGGCGTCACTGGAGGCTTAAGGCAGGAGAGGGACATAGAAGCAGCATCTTTGGGACCTTTATTTGGCCTTGGTGAGCAGACTAGATTGGGCAGGGGAGAGATGGGAAAGGGGCTCTTTGAAAGCAGTTCTTTCTCATTCCACCACCTACCTCTTCCTTTCTTTCTCCACCACTCTTATCATGGATCCCTGTTGGTGACTATGGGCTAGACATTCTAGATAATCCCAAAGCTCAGGACCTAATGGATCCTTCATATTAGCTGCCATCTCTCTGCCCCACACTCTGGGCAGCATCATTTAGAGTGAACAGAGAAGAAAAGATTTGGGTGGCTCCTCCCATCTCTCATCCCCATCCCAGCTCAGTGTTAGTTTGCCTCCCCTACCCTCTCTTCCTGGACCTGGGTCTTGGATCCATATTCACATCCTTAAGCAGCAGACAGGCAGGGAATAGATCAGGATATTTGGCCTGGTAGAGGAGTCAGGCATTCGGGGAGCTCCTTTGAACTCTTCTCAGAGAGGGGCAGGGGTAATGGCTGGCATCTGAAGCCTGAGATAGGGTGTTTCCTCTGTCATTGAGAATCTTCCGGTGGCTGGATCGGGGATGCTAGCTGGCTGATTTAAGACTTGAGACACCACCCTTCCAAGCAAAGATTCTACAGTTTGGGCATAATCACGGCAGTAATATCTCTTGTTTCTATGGTGCTTTTCCACTTGCAAAAGGCTTTCATGTATATGATTTCATTTAACTCTTACAACCACTGCGAGTGGCAGGAATGACCAACCCCATTTAACCTCTGAGAAGATGAATTTGTAAAGGTTACACAGATTGAAGACCAAGGACTGAGGTCTTTTCACTCCTAGCCCCCTCCACCCCAGCAGCCATTTGCGGCTCTGACATGCACCGATCCTCTCAAGCCCCAAAGAATTCTATTTCTACTTCCTGACTCTACCAACCCTCTGGGAATGAGCTCTGGAAGTTGACTGCCCACCTTGTGCCTAGGGACATGTTTCTATTCATCTTGCGCTAGCATCATTCCAGTTCTAAGGGGCCCCTCATCTCTGGTTTCAGAATTTGAGGAGCAAGCAAGTCTTCTGTTTATCGATGCCTTTCATTATTTTGTGAGTTTTTCCACCCCATCTCACTTTCCAGAGGCTTAAACTTTGAAGTTTGCCCTCTCCAGCAGCCACTGGCTCTCCATTCTGTGAACTATTCTCTGACACTTCCCTAAGTCCATGATATTCTTCCTAGGAGCCAGTGACTCGGGAATGCACTCAGCTACGTGGTTTTATGCAAGGATGGGAGAAGGTTCTGCCTGTTGTTTCCAGTCATCTTCATTATGATGCTGTTGCTTTTTGGCCTTTTGGCAAAATCAGAACTTTGGGCTAAGGTCTTCAGGGAACCATCTGCAACACCTTCCCTATTCCTTTTCTGACTCAGAGACTTTCATCAGCCATAATTTCCGTGATTTTCAAAGGTGATGGGAGCTCAAGCCCCTGAAAAGGGTATCAGAATGTGGCGAGAGTATTGGTTTGACTCTATATTTATCAAAAAGGGGCAAGGAACAAAGAAGGTTGAGAAACAATGTTCTAGCTGGTAATACCTAAACTTTAAAATTGAAGAATGGAGGTGGGGGTGAGGGTAATATGTATTGTATGTCACTCATGGGTGGAGGATGAGAATGTTTGCTATCCACTTGTTTAAATTATTTACTCATTGCTAAACACATCACCTTGCACTTGCCCCATGAAAACCCAGTCTCCAACCCAGCTGTTTTCCTCACTAACATAGACTGGGAGAGTTCTCTCTACTCTGTTCTCTTCAGCCTAACTGGGGTCTGTCTAGTTACAGAGTTGGGGTCAGGGTGGGTGGTTATTGTAGGGGTCCAAAGAATCAGGGCCCACCCGCAGCTAAAGGGAAAGCACATAGGACAGCTGGGTATGGCTGAGACGCCCTTTCCAACCAGAGTTGGGGGCCTCACGTTGGACCTAAGAGTCTTGATCCCATGTGTCTCCTTCCTACCTCGGCTCAGCCATCAGGGTGTTTTTGAGATTGGGGGGGCTGAGGGAGCAAAAAGGGAAATAAGGCCACAGGGTTTGCTTTGCTAAAGGATTGCAGTTTTCTCTTCAGGCCTGGGCTCCTGCTCCCTGCAGAGAAGGCCCCTTTAACCTACTGGCACCCAGGCAAGAAGTTTGGGGGTGTCTGATCAGCTGTATTAGAATGAGGGGTTTCCTCAGAGTTTGTGAAGGCACGGAGGTTAGCAGGGGCTTGTGCTGGGCCCCTCCTCGCCCTCCCTTTGTGGTTCACTCCTTTTCCTGGACTTGAATCCCACTAGCAGCGCCCCTCATGGATTTCTCTGCTCAGATTTGGATTCTGGAAGTCCAGGCGATGCTTGGATCTGGTTTGAGTTGGGGAGGGAATCTCACCCACCACCACTTCGCCCCAAGGCCCAGCTGTAGGCTTTACTCTCACTCCCTGCTCCTGAGCCCCACAGCCCCTCCGAGCAGAAACAAGTTTGCAAAGTGGGGTTTGAGGCGAACCCCACTGCACACGCAGCAGCTGGGTAGGCGCTGCCCGGTAAATGGACATGCCACTCGGCCAGGGACATTCTGTCACCGCTGCCTGACACAGCGCCTGCTCCAGGGAGACCCACCTCGCCGCCTCGGACATTCTGTCCGCTACCGGCCCTGCGCGCTGCGGACATTCTGTCCGATGTCGTGGCGGCCCCAGGCTGGGACCCACGCGGACCCTGACACCCCCAGCCGGACACTCCAGACCCGCTGCCTGTGATTCGGGCTGCCCAGCCACTGCCCTGCCGCCCGCACGGCGACCATCTGACCTGGTCGCGGTCAGCCTCTCACTACAAGGCGCCTATCGCAACTGCGAAGCCGCTGAAAAGAGAAGCGTGAGCAACTAGACGCACCCCTACCCCCAGTGCCTGGAGTCCGAGCTGAGCCCCAGGCGAGGGGCGCTGGACTCCGCCAACTGCCCCTACACTGGGCAGCCGCTGCCAACTCCCCCCACTGGCCAGGGCCTCAGCAACCCCTTTTGCTCCCTGGCTGTCTGCCCCGCGCCCTCTGATTCTAGGGTGCTTTCTGGTAATGGTTACCCGACTCTCTCTAGACCCCGCTTCGCGGAGCCCCTGTTCTGGCTTCATGTCTCCGGCTTCTCTCCGGGTCCCCCTGACTTCTTCCCCCCTTTCTGTCCTCCAAGTTCTGACTCTGAATTTCCCTTTCCCTAAGTCCTGGCCCTGGGTCTGCAGTCCGCCCTCCCAGTTTCGACCCGTTCCCCAGGTACCGTTCCCCAGTTCAGCCGACCCAAGTCCCGTTTTAGGGACCCCAAAGTCCAGCCATGGCCCCTTGACCCCTTGAGCCCGTGTCCCCGCCATGGTCAAGCACTCACAGTGAGTCCCGCAGCAGGCGGACTCCCGGCAGCGGCGGTGGCGGCGGCGGCCGTTG